TTATCTCAATTCTTGGATGGTCAACTAACGCTTCATTGGTACGCCGTACCAGGATGGAATGGGGTACTGGTCCGGCACAATTGAATTTTAGAGTGTCCTCGAAAATTATAGATGTATGTTAATAATTTGTTCCAATGGAGATTGCAGCAGAATCGTGTTGTTGAAACTTTTCGTTGTTATCAGTGTTGTGACCAGAAACAGAAACTGACAGAAACCACCCGAAACTAGTTTAGGTTAGTAGTTTAGGTTTAGGTTTAGGTTTCTGCTTAGTGTAAGTTCATTTTCCGAAACGTTTCGGGAAGCCAAAAGAGTTTCTGGTCACAACACTGGTTCTCATAAAATCTTCTCTTAAAAGGACAGTCGATAACATGTACCAGAGGTCACGAAATTGTGTACTATGTAAAAAAATACTCGAGATAAAACATTTGTTTATTGATGTTGATCAAATGTGTAAATTCCAAATGACCTTTGCATTATCAATATATATATATTAATATATATATATATACACGGTATATCGAAATTCCCTATTTCAGGGTTTATTCCTCTGATTGTGTCGTTTTACCATGCAATGACTACTAGGAAAGCAGTTAAAACAATTCTACGATTGTTGTAATTTTAATAGCATTAGAAAAAGGCACTCCAGGTTTGGATACAACAGCAGATCAGATGTTAGAGTAGTAGTACTGTTTTAGCAGTGTAATCAGGCGGTGATTTTGCTTTTGTATTTATTTGATTTCAAAGTAATAAAAATAAATTTCACATATTTTCCAACGTTGCTAATAATAATCAATAATATTTATTAATAAAAAACAGGATATTTTATTGATTTGTTTATTCCATTTTTCTTTGTCGAGAAACTAATAATTCTTTTTTTTTTTTTAAATTATATAGAAAAATTACAAATTTTAGGATTTAATTCATTCATTTTAAACGTTGTAAGTGGTGTTGTGCAATTTATTATTATTATTATTATTATTATTATTATTATTATTATTATGGATACTTCACGTTCCGAATGTGGTGACAATGAACAAAGTTATCACACAAATAAATCGGAATTTCAAGGTACAAATTTTTGGCTATTGTTTTTACAGTCATTTTCAAATAGTTTTTCAATCAAACAGTATATTTATTGATTGTAAATAATCTACAGTTTTTCCAAATAAAATTCTAATTCTATAAAAAAAGTAAATTTTTCTCTAAAATGACTTAGATAATATAATAAATGTATGGATAAAGTCGTAATTATTAATTATTATATAATAAAATTATCATCTAAAACCATCGAACAAATATCAAAAGGTTCAGTGAAATTTCTTGAAGCCTCGACTTTTATAAAGCTTATTGGTTCATTATTTATACAATCAAATTCTATTGTTATTGAATTGTATAATACATTAGAATCTCCATTCGTTTCAAGTTTATCTAAAGTATCTAATTTACTGCATTCATTCTAGAAAAAAAAATTTTTTGAAATAAATAAATATATATATTATATACATATACATGAAATTATTGAATAAATACATACCCAATTATGACCATTTGAAGAAGTTTTAATATTAAATGATGCATCAAAGTTACTTATATCTTTTGAGGAAATTATTTTTATCTTTTTGTAAGACTTTGGTTCAACAAACTGTAAACCAAAATAATCACCAACATGTGGAACTATATAAGAATAACAATAAAAATTGAACAAATTTTTATCTATGTTGGTTTTAATTGAGAAAAGAAAATAATAAATAAATACTTCTAAATGAATTCCAGCAAGTTTTCTCATCAAGGTCCACTGCATTATGATAAGCATGCTGATCCCAAAAAGTATTACTAGGAAAATCTAATTCATTAAATTTGTGTTCATGTTCATGTATATGAGTGACATTATTTGCATAATAAATACGTGATGGATGTGGAAATGGATCAATGTTTGTTATGAAAAGGCATTTATCATTTAAACATGGTGCTCTAATTATATATATATGTATGTAAAAATAATAAGTAATTAGTTTTTTGTTATGAGATTCCATACATAAATATGAATGTATATATATATGTATATGTGTAAATGTTTTTATACCTAGCATTTCGTTCACTGAAATATGGTTTTTCTTCTTCACGCACAAATAATTCAGATCCAGTGTTGACAGCTAAAGCAGTATATAATTTTTGTATTGAATCAAGCTAATAATAGTAATATAAATAAATAAATATATACATGCATGTTTACATGAACAGTTTATAAAGGAGAAATTACATATTTACAATATTTCCATAGACAATAGCCCATTGATCAACACTATTACTCCAACCTTCTTGCTGATCTAATGGTGTCAAAGGATTAGATAATTGATAAGGATATTGGTTTGTCCATATTGAAAAGTACATGTCTGAAAGTTTTAAACGTTCTTTTGCCAAAGAAATAGATCCAAGTTGCCCTAAAAACCTTTGTACTTTTGCACGTGGAACAAAAGAGCCACAGCCAAACCAAGTAAATCCAGTATGAAGATTCTTATCTTTTTATTAAAAATATATACATATAAATTGAGCTCAACATATTTAAAAATGTTAATTGATTAGTTTATAATTTTTCTATTTTTACCAGCATTAGCAAACATCCATCTTCTGTGTTCTAAGTGAATTATTGGCATTGTGTTTGAATGTATTAAACTTGGATTATTTAAGAAATTAGTATACATGCTATCCATATACATGTTTAACCAATCATCATCTTGATAGTAACAATAATCATATTTAGCCATAGAGCATGTTGTATGCTTTGATAAATCATGAAGGTTTTCATCTGAATTAAATACATTTAAAACCATTCCATCACTATTAATAAGTTTAAAATCCTATAAAAACAAGAATTTTTGAATTTAACATAAACTATATTATATCATATCATCATCTAATTGGTTGATTAATTAACTACCTTTACATTAAGCCTGATTTCATCATTATTATTCCAAATCAATATTTCTTTAACAAATGGATATTTTGAAAGGTAACTGACTACTAATTGTAAACTTTCTCTACGTTTCCAACCTAATAATATTGCTGTCACTGGAATCAGCCCATTTTTCTTTAAAGCTTCTTCTGTAAACTGTTCTTTTTTATAATGACTTGTTTTATTTTCTATTTTTGCTATCAACTCTGATGGTAAAACTAATGGCTTTTTTGTTTTTTTAATGTCTGTCTTTGATTCTGGCGGTGACTCATCGGTAAATACTGTTGGTGAGTCGTCATGTTCAGCCCAAGGCTTCATGATCGCAATTAATATTGTGGTACAAATCAACAAAATGACTAGAATAAACTTGACAATGTTGTTTCTACGTGTGAAAAGTCGACCGTGAGTTGATCCACCCCGAAAATGTAATTGATCTTTAAACATCTTTATTATTGTTGTTAATGTTGTTTAATTATTATTATTAAAAAGAAAACTATATATATTTTTTAAATAATTGTTTTCAAGAGCCAATTATTTACACTTTGCTAAATCGTAGAGATACTAACAATAGATCGATCTCGAATTTAGTTTATTATTATTTATTTTTATTATTTTTGTTTGTTAATTAAATAATTTTTTTTTGTGCAACTCGATATAATAATTTAATAAATACAACAGTGTAAACAATAAATAATCAAATCCTACTGGAGAAAAACTTGTATGTATGCCTGTTCTTTACATGCTTTCCCTATCCGTCATGGAGACGATTACGATGAGAGTTTTAAAGCCGTGTAGGATTTTCTAAAATTGTTATAATTTCAAATAGGTTCAATTTGAATAACCATGCTTACATATTTATAATAAATTATAATTTAATTAATATTACCAATTTTTTTATATTATATACAACATCCGATATGGTAACCGTATCCACAAATTAGGATAATTATTTCATTCATACTATTGGAAAGAGTTGCAGTTTTCAAACGATGATGTGCAAGAAGTATGTTAACCGCAGTTGGCAGGCATTTCCTATCAACAACAATGCATTCAAGCGATGCTAAATATACCGTGAAGATTTTTTCTTGCTTGATTAAAAAACTTTTAAATAAAATATCCGTTAAATAAATCAATAAATCAATTTATATGTAATTTATTATGGAAACGCTCAACATAGCATTCGTCAAATTGACCAGGTGTTTTTGTTTTTTTTCCAATGCTTCTGCCATAAAACTACCATTTTCTTTCCAATAGATAAATATAGTTTGAAATAGATGACAATGGAATTTTATTACATAGAATTTTTCTTTTCCATCTAAGGGGCAAATGTCCAAATTCTAAATGTTGTTTTTAAATATGAAAAAGAATCGCATAAATGTTTGAGAAATTCTTTCCATATATTTAGCAGCTAACTAACTCTAATAATATATTTATCCTGCAAGATATAGGTTTTTTGCTAATACTTTGTCATTTGTCAAAACATAATTTCAAAAAGCTTACAATAAACAAAGAGCTGTTTGCTCGTGTGAATTTAAGGAGGCATGAAAAGGACCTTGAAGAGGAAATTATTATTGATAATTTTATACCATGTTAAACTTTACCAGTGGCATAGTAAGAAATTATAACTAAAACATTAGCATTGACAAAAGTAAAAAACACAAATTACAACAACATGATACAAAATAATAAACCAAAAAATACAAACATTTCCATGAAAATGAAATTCTCAAAGAAAAATTAAACTGGTGACAAGAATGAGCTCTATGTTCTACAAAGGGATGACAGAAGAAGACACGTCTGGGACATGCAAATTCCAACTCGAAAAATCAATTATTTTAACAATTCAAAAAACTTTAATGATCAATCAATATCCAAGATCTTGTAATTTATCTATAAGAGCATGATTGTTTATATTCTATCAAGATAATCAAGTAGATACAAATAAAAATTCCAAAAACACTAACATAGATGATATAATCTCAGAAATTACTGATGATTTAATGTACATATTTGCCCTGAAAATGCATTGAAAATGTATGGAAAATGCAGAGTGCGAGATGCCCTAATTAGGTCAAAATTAAGTGATGTAACATCATATCGATCAAATAACAAACTTCTTTTTAAAAAATAAAATTTTTATCAGAGCCTTCAACTAAAGAGATACAAACATTAAACCAAAGAAAATTATAGCAAATATATCAAACTTTAGTCTACAGAGAGTTTTTCATATATTCTAAAGAAATTGAAAAAAGATACTAATAAAAAAACTTTATAACCAAATGGGATAGAGACTTGAGCAATAAAATTATAAAAAGTTTTGTTTAACTTTATTATGAAAAAAAAAAAAAAGTTAAAGTTATTCAATTCATGATTAAATTTTATCATAAATTTACATTGTAGCTGTGAAATTAATAAATTAATAGAAATTTCTTTTTATAATTCATGTTTTCAAAAAAAAAAATTCTTGGTTGAATTTGTTGTCATTAAATGTGTTGGAATATATGACCAGCCTGCAGTAAGATTTCTATTTGTTTATACTTTCAATTTTAAAAAAATTTTCTAGTCTAGTTTTAATACTTTCAAATCAATTACAAATTCTGTTCAGAAATATGGAAAACTTCAAACAGAACATGGACTGGTGATTAAATCAAAGCTGTCAAATCACAAGGGTGATGTAACAAATTTCCGTGTTGCTATATGTACATTACTAATTCATATTCTTTCAAATTTTACCATTTTATCATGTTAGTAACATTTAAAGATGGGGACCGCAATTAGCCGCAACTAAATGCAGCATATGAAAATTTAATTGCAACTAGTCGCAATTAGTTTGGGGAGCCATCTTTAGTAGACCACTTGAAAAATTTATTTCAAACTTTGTCCATTTTATTAATTAATTATTTAGAAATTATTCAGCAATTTATCCGAACTTTATCCATTTTATTGATTAAATTTCTTCAGTAAATACTCGGTCATTGATTCAAATTTATCCATTTTATTAGCATATAAGTGAAAACCCATTTTTTATGAAAAATGGAACTATAGATTCCGTGAATATGATACATTTATTATTATTATGATGGAAAAACACGGAAATGTATATTTATTAAAAACACCGAGTTTAATAATAATAATGGTAAAACACTGAGACTAATCACGGAGTAAATTTTTTACAGGGAAAGGATCATACGACTGTTGGGCTACATCTAATGTCAACGCCACCATCAATAAATTGAATTTGGAGTTTATTTATTAATTTCTTTCCAATTCAGCCTTTTATGAATTTATGATTTTGTTGCGCATATTTTTATCAAAAGGTTCGACTAAATCGTGTAATTATAAAGTTTTCAAATTGCAGAGCCGTGTATAGAGAGATTTGACATAATAACATTTTTTTTTCTTTTACAGAAGAAAGGTGAAAAGCACACGGTCCAGAAGGGTTAATTAATTAGTACCGATAAAATAAAATAAATATTTGTTTTCTTGTAATATTTTTAAGCAAACACGTTTATAAAATCCCCCGGCTAAAAAAAATTTCTCGTAACATTCATTTTTGCACCTGAAATTCTAGTACAGGGTTCCATGACATAGACATTAAATTGAAATGGAACCACCTGCATTACTTAGAATGACAAAAAAAACATAAATTTGCTCAAAAAACAAAATATATACATCATAGTAGGATAGAATTCATAGAGTTTCTATTCGTAATGCAAATTCTTATTTTAATTCGAATTATTATTATTATTCAAATATTTGTTTTATTCAAATTATTAGTTTATTCAAATCATTTGTTTTATTCAGAT